GTGTCATAATGACAAAATAGTATAGGATAAAATATATTAATCTGCATTGAGTACAGCCCAGTGACAGTGATTTACAAAATAAACTAATATTTATGTGTGTGCTAAATGTTACCAAACAATGCAGATCAACCATGTTTGCCTCATGGACTGGAAGAGCTCTGGGATGCATCTTGACTTTAACTTAATTGCATCAGCAGCCTCTGAGAATAACTTACCCGAAACTGTCACTGAATATCCTCCGTTTCTTAATGATGCTCCTTACATAAATGGTCCTTTTAAAGTTCAAACTAATGAAACTATAATTTCAACCATGTCTAAATACAATTTACATTTTAATTTCTATATGTATTGTCCTATTTTTTATATTCAGTGAATGGCAATGTGATGGTGATACTGACTGTAGTGATGGTTCAGACGAACTGAACTGTAGTGGTCCATGCCATGAAGGTCAGTTTATGTGTCAAAATCGCCAGTGTATTCACCAGAATTGGCGCTGCGATGGTGAAGATGACTGTGGCGATGAATCAGATGAAGATAAAAGAATGTGTCGACAACTTGGATGCCCCCCTGGTCGTCACAGGTAAGAAAGCAGCCTAAGGAAAATTAGTTTATTATCACAAACGTTTTTCCATTATAAATTTTCCTTTATCAATGGTAGGTACTAACCACGATCCTCTAGGGACTGCAAAGCAATCCTTCCATTCCCACAATATTTGTAACAGAACTGCAATGTTATACTACTTCATGAACCTGCAAAAATGTTTTGAACAGGCAAACTTTTTATCCGCACCAAGACCCAAGCTCAGGTTTATCTTATTAACTTGCCATGCGTTTTACCGCCACACCACGCACTGCTGTTCTCACTTATGCTTAAAAGTCTAATTATTTATTTATTTGAATTAACAGATATGTGTCCATGGTACAAAACAGTAGTAGTAGTAGTTGTTGTAGTAGTAGTTATAGTAAAATCTAATTGTCTTTCCCATTATTTCCAACTTGCAATTTTCAAAAAATTCAGAGAGTTCAATGAAAATGATATCTGCACCATACTTTTAAGCATCCCTTATTTTCTACCTGGATTTTTGAGAAGATGGATTTTTATAAAATGTATTAATTTCACACATTAACAAATATATTAATTATATGAAAACTACCCTTTTTTCTTCCAAAATATTGTACGCAACATTTTTTCACAATTTTTTTTAGAACAGATTTGATGATGGTAAAAATTACAATCTTCAATTTTGTAGTTCTGAAATATTAACTTTTTGATATTTTTGAAAATTTGGTTTGCCGGAAATAAGATAAGCATTGTTGTTGTTGTTGTTGTTGTTGGGGTTTTTTTACCTTTCATTCATGTTAGGAAAAAATTTTGTGCCATTTTTGATAAAATAATTGTTTAAAAATTGCCGATTACATGAAAGCACCTCTTATTTTCGAAAAATTGTAAGCCTACATGACCTTATTTCAAGATCTGCCTTTGAAGCACAGATTTCATTAACAGGAAAAAATCTATCTTCCAAAAATGTTGTTGTAGAAAGAAATGAAAAAGAATTTGAACTTTTGAAAAAAAAAATAAATAAAATAACAAGAACAACAACAACAAAAGGAAGAACACGAAGAAGGACAAGAAGAACAATAATAAATAATAATAATAACAATAATAATAAGGGGTTTCAACTAAAATGTGACCTCAATCTCTTAAGCATCCATTATGCTATCCAAGGATAAACAACCAGACAGACAGACAAAGTGACTGACTGACGGATAAAGGACAGATAAGTGCCATCAATTGATTTTTCGGTAGCCTGAGAATATGAGTTTTGCTGTTGAAAAACACGTTTTTCTGATGCACTATTACAATACTTTCCTCTTACAAAGTATGGTAGGAAAGTAAAAATGTATTGCACATAACAAAAAATATATTTATAAATTATAATACAATTGAAGCTTGGGGATAATTCACTCTTTTAAACACTGTTTGGGCCAATTTTATACTATTCTTTCTTGATTATCATGTACAGTCTTTTTTGTTTTCTTTTCTGTTTACCATACTGTAATTTTATTTTTCTTTCCCATGTATTTCTTTATTTTATCATTAACATTATCAGGGTTATCTTGCCTGTTCATGTATTTTGTAAATAAATAAATTTCTAATTTTTTGATGAACAGAAATACCTCCTGTGAAAGTGGCGCCCTGTGCCCAGGCTGCTACACTCTAGCCTTACCACTATTTCTCTGTCATCATTAATGAAGTGCCTGGCAATTTTATTCACAACTTTCGTTGCATGGATATCCAGTGCGAGGAATCAGTTTTCCGTGACAGATATTCTGTAACTGCAGTTGCATGAACAAATCTTTTGAAGTGATTCTATTACTAGAGGAGCAGTTCACAAACAATAACCGATGCATGGTGAACTCTCAGGAATATGAAACTACAGAATTGTAAGTTTGTGCTATGTTATCTTCGAACTAGTCAAGTGCTCTAACAAACTGGTCAGCGAGAGTCCCTGAGAGTCGTAGTAAAAACCGTGACCAATTGCTTCAGGTCGCCTTTCCCCTAAGCCTTTCGCGTTTTTTCTCAATTCCTAAGTAGGTCATGATATAACTCATTATATCACTTGATAATTAGGCAATGCCCTCTCCCTAGTCAAGTCACGTCTTGTGATTCATGCAGTAAGTAGGTCAGGATTATTCTTTGTCATCTGTCCAGTGAGCCTGATCGCATAACCAAGCACTCAGCGTGTCTTGCCATTGTAGGAAGAACATCATGTCAGTGGCTTTCTTGTTGAGGTAATGAAATTCGTTCAGTTTGAGCTAATTTTCCCTTTTCAGATAACATTTTGCATCCAATTGAATGAGCATGCACCCGTCTTCTTGACACTGCATCAAGGGAAAAGCTGTTGAGAAGGCTGCATAGGCATACGCCATATATATGTCGTATTTTTCCAGTCAATAAAGAAAGCACACTACAAGGGGAGTGAAATTATAAATTAAATTAGGAAATACAATTGATATTACATTGAACTGCCTTCCAAAATAAGAATTCTGCTTCTCTGTCATGTATCAATTCACCAATGTAAGTTTAAAATATAGGTGCTACATAGTGGCACAGTCTTTCCCCTGTTAGTTTTCTATTTCGTGTGGTCTCAGCTAGCTACTTGGACTTGCCACATACTCTTGCCAGTTACCATCTATCACCACTAAAAGCACATTTTAAAAAAAAGAATTAATTTTTAGTTTTTCTAATAGTAAAATGGAAATATTATTTTTAAAATATTAAAGAACAGTAAAACCTCGTCCTAATGGTAATTGTCTTTGAAAAATTTGGAGCCATTTTTAAAAAGCTGGTGTTGAAGCGCTTCTGTCAATTCAAAATTTGAAGCTTTTTCACAGAAAATTTTTGAGTTTTTGAAAAACTTCATTCAAAGCATATTAACTCACAAATACAATCACGTTTACAAATTGTGGGAAATGTGCATAATAAAGGTGTGAGAGATCTTTCAAAGAAATTACATTAGTGTGACTTTTGAAAAACTTTAAAATATCCCGAAATGAACTTAAAATATTTTAAAGAGTGCAATGAGCACTATCTGTTTGAAAAGATTGAAGAAAAAATTTGGAGCCATTTTTGAGAAAATGGCATTTGAGCATTTCTGAAAATGTGGAATTTTCAGCTAGTTTTCACAGAAAACTGATGAGTTTTCGAGAAACTTTATTTGACATTATTTAAAGCATATGCACTCATAAATCTAATAATTTGTAGAAACTGCCACTAATATAATTATAACCAAGATGAGAGAAAAGTAAAATGAGGAGCAATATTGTGTCTATGTCGTCTTAGAGTACATTTAGCACTTGTCTACCAAAAGTTTAAAGAAAAAATTTCGAGCTGTTTTTGAGAAAATCTTGTTGCGGTTACTAAATGGCCTATTGTATGTTGCTTTTCAACGCTCAGGGCTTCCCTTTGACATCTTGGTATCGGAAGTACTAGGTCATTTTGACACCCCTCACACCCTTAAAACATCTGGACTGAAATTAGGCTAACTTGTGTCCTCTTATTTTCACAAAAAAAGATATAAGACACTATAAGAAAAATGAGAACTGATTTTTGGCATTAACTCTAGAGGCCTCAACCAATATTAATTTTTTGATTCAAAGGTAAAGCATGCTCCAAAATATAATTGTATCATATCACTGTGCTTGTCTGCTAACAATGTACAGTGGTAATTTTAGAGATATAGGTAAAGCAATGAAATCCCATCTGTTTTCCTATGTCATCTGGCACCTTAATCTCAATAAGTTTCTGTGCCCCCTGCCAGACCATGTTATCTGGTTGAGTTCTCAGATTTGTATATAATTAAAACCAATAAGTGTAAAAATGGGTTAAGTAAGGCTCATGTGAAACATGGATCTCATGAAACACAACACAATACAGTATACATGCATATTCTACTCAAGAAGAGTCTACTTAGGATTCATGGATTTTCAAGTTATTTGCCCAACTAGTGCTCAAATTTGAATATAATTAATTCAAAGAAATAGTTCATAAAAAGGGTAAAGGATTGAAACTCTTACTACAAGAGACAAAATATATATGAATATTGTGCTCTGGAAAGTTTGTATCCAATATCTACCACTTTTGATCACTTAATTAGATTTTTATACAATTTGCTTATCTCGAAGAAGCCATCAACTACTATTAGTTGACTCTAACAAACACTATAAATGTTCATATTGATATTGTGATATTTCAGGTGCCGTAACCACATCTGCATTCCATCACTGAATGTGTGTGATGGCCATGATAATTGTGGTGATAATTCAGATGAAGATGCACAAGCTTGTGAGTCTGTTCATAATTTATCTGACTTTTAATGTTTTTCTTGTACAAGGTCATGACAAAATATCTCCCTTTTCTGTTCCACAAATTTATTTGTATCATTTTATGTAAATGCATTCCTGTTCTTTTAATTTCTTTATAAACAAGTAAATATTTGGTTGATAGTTCTTTTCAAAATCCTGGATCTTGTGAAAATGATAACAGAATTTGTTAAAAAAGAGCAGATAAATTTGGTATGCATGCATATGACTAGAATTTGAAACAATCTCAGTTCTAAAATGTCTAAAGTTTCATCTTTTACTAGGAGGCAAAAATGTGGAAATGTCATATATTTGTTACTGCATATTTTAAACACGTGTTATTTTAGTGTATTTGTGGCTTATTTGCATGCATATCTTAAGGTCAAAAGCCTGCAAAAACTTCCCAGCTCTACTTATGAATATCCTTACTTGCTGCATGAGGATGAAAAAATGCATATCTGTTTTTCAAAGGAACTTTTTCAGTTATTCAGTTTTTCTTTTTAATTTTAAGAATTATGATAGAAAGGCAATAATTGTAGAATATATTAAAGAGTAGTTTTGGTTTCATCCTATTGTTTTATCTCAAATATTATTTAATACATGTTTCATAATATTGGCTCTTTTATGAATAGCTCATTATTGACTGATTGCTTTCAATATAAGCTAAATAAAAATCATAATTAGCAGAATAATATATTACAGTCATTCATGTATTATTGTATTTTAGGTAAACTTGCCCATGGCTCATGCAATTCTAGTGAGTTTTCGTGCATGAATGGACACTGTGTGAGCCAAACCTTATTGTGTGATGGACAAAATGACTGTGGAGATAACTCAGATGAACGAAATTGCGCACCATGTAAATTTGGAACTTGCTCACATATATGTGTGGAAAAGAAAGCAGGAAATTATAGTTGCCAATGCATACCAGGTTATTACATGTCTGGTGGAACAAAAGGATCAAAGAACCGTACTTGCACAGCTCATGGTGAGTTAATTAATTCATTATAATGTATTATAGTAATGGCTTTAGTAGTAGTAGTAGTAAGTATATTTTTATGGAATACATTGGAAAGGCTGTCAAAATGCTCTTGTGGCCCAATGGCGAAGTCGCTTGCCTTTCACCATTGAGGTTCCAGGTTTGATACCAATAGAATCCCCGTAGAATCGCATGTGAAATTTGTTACGACAAAACGAGTTTGCATGCTTCACAGGGGTTAGTCCAACTCCTGTGCAGTGGCCTAAACCTTAACCCTATCCTTATTCCTTCCCAATTCTGGCCTGTGGGTAGTGATGCAGGAGCACATAAGAGAGAGGCACGTACACAGAAATGCTATCTGGCAGTCGTCTTGACAACTGAATGAGACGAGACGTGATGGACCTTACAATTAATAGAGGATTACTCGTACACAGAAATTTAAGGAGGATTACTTCAAAAAGCGCTCAACACTCCCCAAGGGGTTTGGAGATGTGTTGCTTCTAAGAGAAATGTTGCTCAGTAATTGTTGTTGCATGCTGTTGAACAGATTTTCCTACACTTTACAATACCTCCTTATCAGCATGTGAAATCCTTCATTATCATCCACACAAAATATGTCGATTAGTATATGCATGATCACATTAGGATACCACCCATTACCTTTAGATTAGCATTTTATTGATTCAATTTATAAAACAGACCATGCCATTTGTTGTGCTATCCCGCCATTACATTCATTTGAGGGCAAGGGAATACAAACGGTAAGCATCTAGTCATGTGGAGGGTCCACTTGACCCATCATGATTGTGTGTCTTTCTGTGAAACACAAACTGTGATCTGTATATATCATCACTTCCCATGAGTGATTTTTTTACTGAGGCATGTATTTTTCTTTAGTCTGAGGAACTGACTGTGCTATGTTATCAGTAGGCAGCTGATTTTTATAACAAGGTTTTTTCCTCAATATTCTGATGAAAATTAATACTGGGCATATAAATATATATTTTTGCATTTTAATGTTATATTAACATATTTATAAAGTAACTCACTATTTATTGTCATGTTTTTGGCATTTCTCATTTAAAAAATCATTTTATAACCACAAAGATTTGTAAAATGCTATAATTTTCTTGACATCATTGTGGACTAGAATGTTGAGTTTTTTTATATCAATGTAGAGGGGGAGTAGGAAGAGGAGGAGTAGCAGCAATTTGCTAAATTCGAAACTTCTTTAGTCAGTAAATAAACAGTCCATGCATCAGATGCCCAATACATATAATTTATTAGTTACATTTGTAAGAATTTTTATATTATCAATTGTAAATGCATTCACATTGCCTCAATTTCAAAAATCTGCCCTCTAGTTATATGGGCAACAATGTTCTTTCTTATTGAAAGGCACAAAATTAAAAGCTTCCTAACTCTCTGATGAAAATATTTGGTTCAAAAATACAGAAGGACAGTTGTTTATGGGTATAGCACAAGAGATGCTTATTTTTATATTACATATATTAAACAAGTATGGCATGATTAAAAGGTTATAATTGCAAACATATGAGATGCTTTTGTATCACTTGGTCTCATAGTACTGTAGTGAGAAGCACTTATATTGCCTGAAAGAAGAGTATAAAATGTGTTGTTATCAGTGCCATTTTTCAGCAACCAGATGCCATATCCTTTTACTCCATGATGTCATTTTGGCGTTTTGCAATGGTTGCCTTCTGTAGATGGGTTTTGTAGTAGTACTCTTGGTATTATTTCAGCCAGATCAATTGTTTCAGCAATTATTCAAATTCAATTCCTAAGTTTATTGAAGTTGGCTGCCTAAGAAAATGGAGATAATATGCATTTCTTCTTCTTCAAATCCAAATGTCTTGTTATCCAATTTAGTAGTGTAGACCTAGAACTAATAATACTAAAATTCAAATCCTTCATGTTTCACACAGCAATCTCAATTTTATATGTCACCGATTTGCAGCATGCATCAGATCACAAGTACACAGTAACAACACTTTTTATTACATTTTCGTTATTCTGTTTCCAACATTTTATTGTGTAACATTTCAGTGAATACACTTAGTCTGTAGTTTAGAGATTGTCTGAGGTTTATTATACAGTAGTCTGTAAGTAGTATAGGTTTCAAGGCATCATCATATTGACCATTATTTTGTTAGATAATAATTTTTTTTTTCCCTATAATTTGTGATTTGAAATTATTAATATGAAAATTTAAGCATTTGTAAGTATAGGAATATGTTTTCCACACATTTTTTTTAAAAGCATGATTTATTCGCTTAAATGTATTTGGCCATTTATGTAATGTTAATAGCAATAGAATAAATTTAAAAATTCAGCCATAAACTCAGGAAATTACATTTTACTGTACAATTTATTCTCAATAAAAAATTTAGTTTCATAAGTGTAGTGCATGTTATATCTCTGGAGGTAGCTGGGTTCCTCCACTTCTAGAATGTGAAATCTGGCACAGACCTGCTCAGGATGTATTCATAACTTGCATCAGATCGAATATTCATCTAAAACCATGCTTAGCTGCTACATGTTTGTGGTTAAGTCAGAGGCAGAGGCCAGTGTAAAGCAAATGTTGATTGGTCCACACCAAAGCTGACAGAGTATATGCAGCTAAGCTCTAACAGTTTTACTACGTTTTCCTGAAGAAAAAAAAAAGGGGGGGGGAATGTTCATATAGCTAGCTGTTGACATTTTGGAGTGCTCTAGTAATATCATTTAGCAACATAACAGTTCATTAACACTAAAAGTTGCAAAAACATGCTACCTGAGAGCTTCAAAATGACTCTGCGTTTATGGATGCAATGACTAGATGAGGGTTATGCACACAAAAATAATTTGGACATTAATGGGTTAATACTTCACTTTGAAAAGAAATTTCTCCATTAACTGTTGTGTGTTTTTTAATGACAGGCTCACAAGCTTATATGATGGTTGCAAGTGATGCAGAGATACGTGTACTGAACCCGTATAAGCCTGGAGACGATGGTTCTACCAATCGATTGTTAGAAATCACTCCAACACCATTACCTAGCTACAAAATTGAATCTATTGATTTCTTCTGGAGACCACAAGGTAGTTATGTATTTTGGACAGATCATCATCAAAAACGAATCCAACGCATGCTTTTGCCAGAAGCTGTTCGTTCAATGCAGTCAAATCAGCCAAATCAAAATCTTGCTGGAACAGTTGTAAGTAAATGCAATGTCATTTGTAATTTTCTTCATATTTACATATGGCTTTTCTTTTAAATTTTAGTCTTTCATTTTCTAGGTTACCAATTTGACAGATCCTCGTGGTTTGGCTATTGATTGGGTGTCTAAGAGAATATATTGGGTGGATGCAGGTTCAGATACAATTAAAGTAGCAACTTTAGATGGACGCTCAATAGTTACATTAGTGAATAAAAATCTAGATCAACCTCATGACATAGTAGTTGATCCACAGTCTGGGTATGTATGAATTAGTATTTGAGGATTAATTTTAATTAGAACATATATTAGAATACTTACATCTCAGAGGTACTTTTAGAATTTTCACAAAAGATAATAAGAAAACCTTATGAATGTTAACCCAATAAAAAGATATGGGTAAACATTACATTTGCTTATATTGCTTATGTGATATTTTGGAAGTCTAGTATCATGTATAAGTAGGACATATAATGCTACTTTTGCCCAATTAACAAAATTTTCACATTTTCCTGAAATAGCAATTCCAAACTTGTGTGTACTAGAGAATATATTTCATTTCCAAAGAATCCTAAAGCCACACTAGAGTGTGTCTGCTCCCATAATAGTAAAAGAAACCTCTTAACTGCTATGGGCCGGCTGAATGAGTCACGCCTCTTACATCAAGCTTCTCGCTGTGTGCCCTATTGTGAGCCAAACTTGCTCGCATTCATACTGCCCAAGACTTCTCAGTTATCAATAAATCATAGTGATAGCTGAAAGCACGTCTGCACAAACGAACTTGTTCAGAGGCTCACGGGACATTGCAGTTTCACGTACGATCTCATCCTGAGGCTCCCAGCATTAAACTGACTGAGAGTAATAACTCGTCCAGGGGCTACCAAGGACAGAAATATCTTGTGTACCAAGTCGTCTAGACCAGTCAAAGGGTAAAGGGTTGCTAAAAGAGCCAGAAGCATCATAGTGTGCTCAGTTGTAGAGTAGGTGTACAGAGAAAAAGTTATTTCCCAATCTTTTGTTTTAAAGTTGTAGGAATCAAATTCTATGATTCTCTTTGTCATTTGCCATTTGATCAATTTTACAGATGTCACTGTTGTGTGATTTTTATTTTGAAAGTCATTTTAATTAACCTGTAGAGCTCAGGCTGGGTCTTTGAGATCAATTAATTCATTGTTCCTTCAGCAGAAGTCTCTGTGAAAGTGATCTGTTGTACCATAAACCGATGTCTCTCATTATAGTATTGCATTAAAAGCAATGAATATTTCCTAATGAGTTTTGAGAAGTAAATGCTTTGAGACAAGCTGGGTCCGGTAGACTCTCTGCTAACATTGACGTCAGAAAATGTGGATACAGTTCCTAGTGAGTATTTCATTATTAAATTGAAGTTTAACTGTATCAATTGTTATAACTTAATAAACCCTAGAGTTATTTTATCTAACTGAAAAATATATATCTAACAATTGAATATTAGTTAGGAAGAGAATGCAATTGGAATATCGACTTTTTTTGGTGGGCTGAAATTGAATACATAGAGTGAGGTTCAAATACATGAAAATGATTTATAGGAAAGGGGAAGCTGGCACCAGAAATGAAATCTAAAAAACCAATAGAGCAGAGGAAGTTGAAGTAAGAACTACAGTTGCGCTAGACACTTAAGGTGTGAACTACATTACAATAAACATCTCCGCCTTTTTTTCTTTCATAATTTATAATTGCATGAGTGGCTTGAAAGTTTATATGCTGCCATTTTTCAAGAATCTGAGTTTTCAACTTGTCAGAGATGAGCTCTCCAGATTTCCAATAGAGATTTCCAAAGAGTCAACATTCCAAATGGTATTAAAAACAGAGTCAATACTTACGCATTTGCAATTAAAACACAAATTCCAGAAGTAGCAAAAAAAGGCCTATGGCAAGAATTTGAAGAAAAAGACTCAAGTTTTTTTGCACTAAGTGCAAGTACTTTTGCTCAAATTTCTTTCTCTTCTCTGTCACAGGTGCCTGCCAAAGATATATAATGTCTTCAAAATAAATATTATTAAAATTTTATTTTCTTTATATTTTAAGTAATTGGTGAAGAATATATTTCCATTAGAATGTTGTTGGGTAAAATAATTTTTGCACTGACTTGCGAAAATATGAAACTTAACTAGTAATTTTATACCCAAATATGTGCACTCAAATTATCTTCAATTTATATATTTTTCTCCCTGTTTATATGAATTTAATACACTCTGAATAGTAACGATAAGTATTCATTGAAAATACATTAAATTTCCAGGGATTCCTATAGATATATAAATAAGTCCATTAGTCTCCCAGACCCTATGTGAGATTTTCTGTTCGAACATTCAACATAGGCTTTGTCAGGTTAAATATTTTATTTAAACTTAAATTGAAAATGTGTACATTTTGTGGAACTCTTTTTAATTCTGCTATGTAACTGTGGGATTTTTAAAAAATGGTTTGGAAACAACAAACCACTGAGAAAAAATTCTCTCACCCCCACCTTTGAGTTCAGATTGAACAGTCAACCATTGATTATATTATTGCAACTCCCTCTCAGATATCATTAGAATGAAATTGTTGACAAATCTCGAATATAATTCTAAAAACAGTTTTATGCAGTCTTTTCAATTCCTATTTTGCAGTTTCCCTAATGATCTATTTCTTCTACCAATTCATAGTTCAGTTTTCACTTGTATTTTCTTTCATAGTAGAAGAAAATAAATTATTATGTTATACTATATATTTGATATGTGTTACACTATAACATTATCCACAGTTAATATAGTATTTCTTTTCTATTTTCATATTTGTTGTTACAAACCTCCACCTTCTTTTAAATTTAGTTTGATGTTCTGGTCCGATTGGGGAGCTGAGCCCAGCATACAAGTTGCTCGAATGGATGGAACAGATCGCCGTGCATTGGTGAATGCAGGTGTACAGTGGCCAACAGGATTATGCATTGATCATGGAAGTCAACGTTTGTATTGGACTGACCCAAAAGCTTACACTATTGAGAGTGTTCGAGCAACATATATAGGTGGAGACAGACAGCTTGTTAAAAGATTTCATCCAGGTAATTGTTTCAGTTCTTAACAGCTGCTTTGTTACAGTAAGGGGCCATTCAAAGAATTAACTCACTTCTGGTGTGGTTTCCCAACTGTGACTAAAAGTGAATGAGGTAGTGTATGGTAGGGGGAGCAGGTATAATATTCATCTCAGAGGGGATGTAAGTTTTTAAGAGTTATTACAAGGGCAAAGAAGGGTTTAAGAAAGCAAAATTTTACAAACTTTTTTTAATGGCCCATGTGACGTAACGTGATTCTCCCTTACAATGTACCAGAGTTAATTGTTTATGTTATTGTTACCCAGAGGAGAAGCCTTACAAACTTGATGTGTTTGAAGACACATTGTATATGACCCTGTACCGAACAAATCGCATTGCTCGACTGAACAAATTTGGCTATGGAAATCTAACACTTCTTGTACCTGGCATGAACAGAGCTTCAGATTTGCTTGTAGTTCAAGAAAACAAACAGCAGAAAAATTGCAAGTATCTAAAGTAATCAATTTAAATATAAGGTAATTGTCATTTTGTAACTACAAGAACATTTACTATGTATTATATTCCTTTGTTTAGTAACTGACCCATGTAGCACAGCATCTTGTGGCAAAAGTGCTCTGTGTGTAAATCGAGGACTGATTCCTGGAAGTAACATTAGATATTCATGTCTTTGTCCAGATGGTCTTGTGAAATCAGATGCAGCTAGTAAGGATACAGAAGAGGTATTTTCATATTTGTTCTTATGTACATTTATTGTTCATTTCTTTGATTTTTTCCCTTTATTGTGCTTAGTAATTGAAGTGATACCTTTGTAAAGTGTTAATTTCTATTACTTTTGAAATGTACACAATTTAGTACTACGTCATTAAGAAGTAATATCATTATGGCTTTGCTCTTTTGTAGAAAAAAATATTTAGTCTGTTTCTTGAATTTTTAACTATTTTTTTAGTGTTTAAATTGTCAGGAAGCTTATTATGGAGTTGTAGTCTATGGTGGATGTCCTTTTTTAATATTGTTGCTGAAGATAAATGTAGTCTTGTATTGTGTTCAAGAACATGGGTATTTATTTTACTAAGCCAAATACAATTTTCATTTAGAAGATATCTTTAACCAAATATTGTATGAACCGGTTTAGAAAGAAATGACTCCTGTGATAAAAAAAAAAAGTGGTCTGTGTGGTTTTAGATTCATTTAATCTTATTATCCTTAAACTTTTGTTCTTTATTTTAAGTGTTTTGTGTACCTCTGCTACATACCCCAGAACTTAATTGCCCATTTAAATACCAAGTTAACATAATTTTTTTCATCCTCATCTGCAACATCATGAACATGTCAGATTTAGGCCATTTGTTCTATTCTGCATGATTACCCCTTAGTGAGATGTTTCTGATTTCCCCATTTTTCTTTGAGTGGTCTCTTTGCAACTTGATATAGGTTTCTATTTCCAAATATCTCCAGCATTGCTTTGAATTCATTAATATTCTCAGTCAAATTCATTATTATTGATCCTGAAGTCTACAGATTCCCACAAATAATTTCTTCGATATTTTTCAATTTTCAGTGAATATTCAAGTTTCAATATTCGTGTTTCATCTTTTTTCATTTTCCTCTCTCCTTTGTTGAACCTTTCTTACTCATATAGTTGGTAAGAGCAATACAATATAACCATGTCTCATTCAGACTACTTTTATTCATTGTCTTTCTTTTTGCTTTAGTATCCATTTTTCTCTACCAAATAATTCAGCAAAAATTGCTTGGCAACTTCATATGTGATGTATAATGTGAATACAATGTAATTTGAGAAAATTCTCTAGAGCTCTCTCTTCTATACTTTTTAATTTGACATTATACAGTTGACTTTGTTGTAGTGGACTCGGATATAGTGAACTTGAATTACTTGTCCTATTCCACTTGCATTACAATAAAGCATAAGAAGATCTGATTATAGTAAACCTGAACATCGGCTACAGTGAACATAGGATATACAGCATCCTAGAAAAGATGTTATCGCCTTAGTACCACAAATTCCAAGAACAGGCAGCTTGAAAAAATTGTCCCCTAAAGGTCATTATCGAAAGAGGCTCTCCTGAGGTGAAGATGGCAGACCTGGAGTGGAGACTTTACTAATGATCTTATGCCATTCAGTTTCACTTCGGAAAAATAAATGGTGGTGTTACGACCTGCCTAGACTACAACTCAACGTGCAATTGCTTGCTTCAGTTTCAAGCTTGGTGTTATATTATGTGGGGCAAAGCCTATTCTGATCTACATAGGCGACAGAAAGTGCATGACTGTCTCAGCTCTGCCTGTCCCCGCACCCTGCTCCGCTCAGAAAAGTGATCAGTTTTATTAGCCGCTTGCGCCACCTGCTACTTAAAGGATCTTGTTTGTTATTAGGCAAGGAAAAGAGCCTTGGTGAGTGAGACGAGTGTTTCAACAGTGGAAGAGTCATTGAATGGTGTAAAGACTGCATTACGATACTTAGAGACAGTGGAGAATGCATAATCAAGCAGTGAGAGAGCACAAACTCTAGAGAAATTATTAATGGAAATGTGCAAAGCAAGCAATTGAACATAATTGATTTTTTAAGGCCAAATATAGATATTGAAATTTTCAATCCATGGTGCTAATGTAATTTAATTTTGACATCAGATACAGTGTTCCAAAAATGTTAGTTCCCAGAATTTCACTATCACCAGAGTTGACTGAATATGCATTTTAACATTTTTTGAATTAAATTCTTTGTGTCCTAGCATAACTGGTGTTCTTTTACAGAAGAAAAATTGTTGAACTAATTAATATTTCTTTGACCCAGAAGTAATTATTTTCATAGGAGATCTTTTTAATTTGGATTACCATATGATACTACTAACTCTTTGCAACAGGTTGTATGTGTAGAGCAACGCCCTAAACAGTGCGATCTGAATTGCAATGTGGGAGTTTGTAAGATGACTTCTGACGGTCCACGATGTGTCTGCCCTCCTTTGTATGATGGAGATCAGTGTCAACTCTACCGCTGTTCTCAATATTGTAAGAACAAAGGTTTCTGTTTTGCTGACCTAATGCTCCTACATTCAAGCTACCCTGTCCCAGTGAAGGTAAAATGTTTATATAAAATCTTAATTTACTTCGTAATGAACCTACTAACAACAATAACAGCTACCACAACAATAATGCTTCTTTTAGCCCATTGATAATGGTTTACAGAATATTTGACACATAAATAATAGTAAATGGTTGACATTCATTTTGAACATCACAATGATAGTAACAAGCAAACAATCGTTGAGACAAATTATCTTAACTCCTACTATTCACAAACCATGATTTAAAAACTTGACAAGTAATATTTTTAAAATTAAATTTAAATACATTTGGGTTTAATCCTATCAGTAACTTGGATTACAGAGAGAGAGACACACGTTCTCTCTCCCTCTCCCCCCCCTCTCTCTCTCCCTCCCCCCTCTCTCTCCCTCCCCCCTCTCTCTCTCTATCTATCTCTCTCTATCTATCTCTCTCTCTCTATCTCTTTCTCTATCTCTCTCTCTATCTCTCTATCTATCTCTCTCTATCTCTCTCTCTGTCTCTCTATCTCTCTCTGTCTCTCTATCTCTCTCTGTCTCTCTCTCTCTCTCTCTCTGTCTCTCTCTCTGTCTCTATCTCTCTCTATCTCTCTCTGTATCTCTCTCTCTATCTCTCTCACTCTCTCTCGCTCTCTCTCTGTATCTCTCTCTCTATCTCTCTCACTCTCTCTCGCTCTCTCTCTCACTCTCTGTCTCTCTCTCTCTGTCTCTCTCTGTCTGTCTCTGTCTCTCTCTCTGTCTCTCTCTCTCTCTGTCTCCCTCTCTCTCTATCTCTATCTCTATCTCTCTCTCTCTCTATCTCTATCTCTCTTCTTAAGCTATTAACCTTTCTTCTTCTAGGGTTATTTAAATTATCCAGTTAAACAATACTTTGAATGGAATGATTAATGCAATTTTTGATGTCATTGAAAAGCATCTCAAGCTTCTATCCATATAAGCCATTCTCTTACTATGTTATTCTTAGTCATTGCACTGCAGTACTATATATGTGCACTTTTTACAAAACTGATTTAAGTGACCTTTAAGGAGAAAAAAATTACTCGGAATTTGGATTATAATTATACGTGAATAAAACCTCTATAGTAAGAATAATAATTGGGTGTTAATATAGGCCGTACAGAGGGAAATAATTATTTGAGAGTGTTTTATGTCTCCTGTAAAAAGACATTCACTTCACACAGACACTTTTATATGGTGACAACATTCCATATCGACATGACTAGAAAAACTTAAACCTGGGTCTAACCTGTATATTTATAGCTAAAAGCTGCGTCAATTACATAATTTTTAACTCAAAAAATTAATGATTTTAAATACTTAAATTTCTAAGTTTTATTATAAATTAACTCATCAATAATTATTTTTAAACTTCTAGTGTCACTGCCCACCTCAGTGGACTGGAGATCGATGTGAAACACCTGTCACAGGGTGTCAAGATTTATGTCATAATAATGGTTCCTGTCAAATTATTAAAAATACAGTAGCTCTTTGTAATTGTCCTGAAGGATTTACTGGTGAGTTTGAATTTATTTTTCTGACAGTTATTGAATTTTCTTCATTTGAAACAAGGTAATATTTCTGTCTGTGCCTATTCTCATTGCTGATGCTGATGTTCTATAAAACTAATTAAATTACAATTAGAAATTACTAAAACATTTTTAAGCAAGTATCAATTAGGGAAATATTTTTATTAAAAGGTTAAAGGTTGGTCACATAATCTGCTTTCTTTTATGTTTTTCTTTCCTAAATAAGGAATAAATAAGTTGTATTTGACTTTAATTGCACATGCATTCTGTAAAATAGAGATTCCAGAAGATTGCAGAAATACAGGACATATTGTAGATAAATACAATGGGTGATCTCAGCAGTTAATTAATGTTTATTCATGGATGCATGTTCATGAATCTTATCCACTATCATAAAAATGTACTAAAGCTAATATCATTTTTAAGTTAAAAGGATTTTCCCTCATCAATTTGACAGCCCTATTCATTTGATAAGTCATTTAGAACTAGTGTGCTAGGAAAGTCTCTTCACAGTGGCACCTTGTTGGTGAGAGTGCCAAAACTTATAGCACTAGCTGCAGCTTGTAACAAAAGCATACATACATTGCATACTCACCACAACTATAACTGATGCCAGAGGCCTTCACTTGTGTCACAATGATTTGGTTGCTACCAACATAAATGAATTTTTTTATAGGAGGCCCTGAATCACTGCAGTGCGGAGACACTTGCCCTGCACACTGAATTAGTGGGAAGAGAAGAGTTAGATCATTTCCTATATGCAAAAAAATGTGTCAGTTAAAGTATTACAGATTAAATTGTAATTAAATTTTGTGTATTTAGAGAAATAAATGTTTCCTTAAATTTTAGGTCAGAGATGTCAACATTGTAGCAACTTGACTTGTGAGAATGGAGGAATATGTTCATTTGTAAATGGTACTCCAACTTGTTTTTGTGACTCTTGGTACAAGGGTAAACGATGTGAAACTTTCACGTGTCCACATGAATGTGTACATGGAACATGTAACATTACTCAAAATGGACCAAGTTGCAACTGCCTTCCGGGTTGGTCAGGCAAACAGTGTAATACAAGTTCTTGTGCATATTTTACCAATTTGTGCCTGAACGGAGGTAAGCAATGAACAAGAGGGCTGAAAACACAAGATTATTTCACTTATTTGATTTTATTCATTACTACGACTAAATATTTATTCGTCATTTTTTTGTCAGGAACTTGTACTCCTGGACCTAAAGGTCATTCTTGTAAATGCCCTCCACGATTCACTGGAAGACGATGTGAAAAGGATTTATGTTCATGCATATGTCCTGAAGATAAACCCGACTGTGAATGTAGTAATTCACATTTAATTTGCAATACCACTTATCCACATCATTGCCCAAGTGACATGTGTCTGAATGGAGGTACATGCACTGTAACAGGATTGTTAACCAAATGCAGGTAACTTCATGTTTTTATTCTTAACTTGTTACATATTTATTATTTAAGATTAATTTTTTTTCGCCCTTAATTATGTCATTTGTGATTTTTAATAATAAAATCATTCAATTTTTTAAATTGTTTCTGTTTATGCCATAATTTATTAACTATAAGGAGTAGAGTTTTATGATTTCACTCTAGTGGTTACTGCTTTTTTCAAAACCTTTCGTGCTAGCATTGTCTTGGGATAAATTCCATTTCCTTTTTGGGATCATCTTATTTCCTTGGCAAATTAAAAGAGAAAATAAGGTGTAGGCTTATTTGTTGACACAAAAATGTCTAATACATTCCTTTCCTTTGGTTGTGCAAATATCATGTGTTTGTCACTGATAATGTAGTACATTATTAATTCATTGATAGTCAGAACTCCAGACTCAAAAATTAGATTCAATCGTGGCAAAAAAATGCATAAAGTGAATACTGTTTATAAATGTTTGATCAAAAGTTGCAGACAATTACATAGATACAAAAAATGCTATAAATAAGGTAATTTAAAAATAAAAATAAGTTTTGACAGAAGAATTAACCTATTTGTAAAGTGGATCTAGGAGGAATTCCCCAGAATAGATACTTTTAACTTTTTCCCTGAACAAGGACTTTTAACATGTCTAATTAAATTTTATTTTCACAAGAATTTATGAAAACAAACATCTTACTGCATTAATGGTTATATTTGTCTGCACCACTTCTGTAACTATCAGAGAGAACTATGAAAGGCTCTTGCTAGTTTGTTTTATTGAAGACCTCTGTCAGCCCTTTTATCTGTTCATGTCAATCTAGATCATTGATGTTCTACTGTACAAAGAAGAATAATTAAATTATAGGAATTGTTTTTGTACAGAGTTTAAATTAGAGTACATAATCCAAATAATAAAAGTTTTAGATGGTAGGCATTTCTTCAGTCAGTATTTTAATAGTTTTCGCTATGCTCAGGAAAAGTGTTTGCTGTTTTTGTGACATCCCTTTTATAGTTTATCACTATTACTCACCTCCACTTTTTGTTTCTTCCTTAAATTAAAATGATAATAGGTGTCCCAGAGGATGGACAGGCATTCATTGTGAAGAACGTTCATCTTGCAACAATTTTTGCTTCAATGGAGGGACCTGCATAAGTACCCAGGATCTAGATTTACAGCCATCATGCATGTAGGTTTATTTTTGAGTTGATCTACCTTAACTGACTTTCAAACTTATTTTCATTTCATTTATCTTGCTTTTAGTAAAAGTAAGAATTAGAATGAAGAATGCAAGAAACAAATAAAAAGTGCTCAGTGTCATTTTGTTTTGTATGTAATGTATTTGTACAAGTTTGCCTTTGAATATTACTAACATTGTTTCAGGTGCCCAGAGGGTTTCACAGGTCTTAGATGTCAAACACCATATTCAATTGTCCAAGAACAGAAAGCTTCAAATGACAGCGTTCGAACAATAATCACCTTCATTGGTGTTGCACTGTTGGTTTTAGTAATAGCAGTTGCAGCTCTTGTGCTTGCTTTCTACATAATTCGACACAGACAAAGGTGATTTTTCAACAAAGTCAAGTGTTGCGAGACAATTACAAATTCCTGTACTTTTTAGCTTTCAATTAATACTGTTTTAGTTTATGACTTTGATAATGGCAATAAAAGCTAATATTCAAGACAAAATATTGACAATTGGGATCTGGAACAAGATCTATTTTATTTTAGTACAACTGCTCATTTTTCAAAAGTTGTATGATCTTTGAAACAGTAGTCATTTTTGTAACAAGTGCTCTAAATTAGTCTTTAAGGATGAGGCTGGAAGGTTAACTGCAAGGTGGAGCAATAGTGGAGTCGAGTAGTTAACCTTCCAGCCAAGTCCTTGAAGACTAATAGAGGATGTATTACTTACAAAGTTTTTTGTTATTTCTAATTATTCGAAATAAACATTTCACACTTAGTTAAGAATTGTCATTATTCTCAATAATCTGTAGGAAGGGTTGTTGGTGCAGGGTCTTAGTACCATTTTTAAATAACAATGTGTACAGAAGGACCAAAAGAACAAGTAGGATGAAGCCAGGAAAAGAGGACAAAGAAGGCAAGGGGGCAAATGGGATATGGGAGTTCAAAAGGGACATATTCATCCTTGCTCATAATGATTAATGAGCACTTATAAAATCTTAACCCAAGAGTCCGCTAAAACATTTTTAATAGACTCTTCAACATTTAAACGGCCTATGCACTCTTAATGCATTGTTGAGATGGTGGGTTGTTAAGGATCAAAGTGTGTGTTTACTGACATAAATAACAAAAAATAATATGAATACTTTCTTTGTTTACTTAAAGTTTTCTTGCTACATTTTCAGTACTTTTTAAATGCCCAGAATAATACTGCATTTTTTCTTTTAGTGGAAAGCCCTTTACACATGTTCGCATGCAAGAAAATGTGGAAATCAGTAATCCTATGTATCTGCGTGGTGATGCTGAAGAAGAAGGAGATGGCTTAGATCGAAATTTCACATTTGATGCTGACAAAGTAAGTTTTTGATATTATGAAGATCTTTGAAATGGAATGTGATCATTCTTAGTCTTAACAATTCTTATATAATATTTCAGAGTGGAAATTTTGCAAATCCAGTTTACGAATCAATGTATAACTCAGGAATGGTAGACGGTGTTACATCAAGTGAAGAGAAAACAGGTTTACTTGTAGTAGATCCTCATCTGCACTCAACTGATGGGCATGAAACTCACTGAATTATTCTTCAACTAATAGAAGAGATAGATTCTTGCGTTCATAACAGAATTTTGTTGTAAATATAATTCAGTTCTCTTTTCAAACTGTTGCTCTTACCATGCAGCTTCATAGTTTCATATGCAGTGGCACTATAATTCCATGCCAAAGATAAAAATTCTTGAGAACTGATAGAATAATTACTCTATTTATTTAGTTGTGTGATATGTGCTTTTACTGCTAAAAGGATGTATATAGGAGGGTTTCCCGGTGTACCATGTAAAGCAGTATTTATTTTGTTATATTTCAGTACCTGCTAAGTTCTGCTTTATCACAATATCTGAAATGTGTTGATGGTAACATTTCTGTCTGTGATAATTTTTGTATATAGTTGTAACTGCATAGGGAGGTTGTGTTATGTTCAAACAAATCCTGTTAGTGTTTTATAATAATATTTTTCAAATATTTAAAATAATGTTTACTTATATAATAATGTTTCTGCTCTATTCCCTGCAAAAAACATATAATATGAAATTCTACATGCACTATCTAACCATTGAAATAGTTTATTTTATACAGGAAATTCTTTTTGTCACTTAACAGATTGTAAATCTTGTAGTGATAAATGAAACTCAATAAATGAAAAAGTTAGTTTAATTAAAAAATAATATACAGGACATCTTGTGACACATCAGTTGCTCTAGGAAAACTTTGTTGAGTATTTTAAAAGAACTATTACAAAAATAAAAATTTGGATAGTACCAAAGATAAAATTCTGAAAGAAATATTTAGAAATAAATATTGTATGAAATAGTATCTCCAAATAAACATATTTAAATCATATGCATGAAACAAAAATAGTCCCCTTATTTGTCTTTTCTTGCTATTTAACTTTTGTGTACATATTTAATCTTGAATGATTTTTAGGTTATAAGTACCTTAACTTCACTATAGGATATAATTGATTAGATTATAGAATATATTCTTGGTCGTACAGTGCTCCAAGAGCTTGCATCTTTTACGTTTAATGTTATTTGCTTGCCTTTACTCTACCAATTTCAATAATGGGAAATCCATTGTGTTTTTGAAACAACACTTATTCACCAAGTAGCCAAAATTTCTGAGTATTTATATGACATATTTTCTAAATAGATCGTAGACTTCATGTTACATCTTAACACCTCAAATGTTCATTTTGTGTATCGAGCAATAGGTTAAAATTTTCTTCATGTGTGTATTTCTTGTAAACAACATATTTGAGTTATTGCTAGAGTTCAAAAGAAAACATTTTACAATAAGTCTATCCAATGAAAATATTTTTAAAAATGTGGGCAAGTTGTTAATGTGATATTTTTTAATAGACATAAACAGAAAGTGTATTTTAAATTTGGTATTTTTTAAATATTCTTGGGCAAGAATTTAAAAAAGAACAAAAGTTATTTTTCCAATACTTTTTTTTAGCACTATAAATCTTTCAAATTTTGTAAGTTATAATACTTTTAAAAAAGGTCAGTAAAATTTTCGATTTAGTGCATCCAATTTTTCTAACAAACAGAAATGTAATTTGCCTTTCTTTCTTTCTTTACGTAATTTTGATGAAAGTTATAGACATATATCACAAGAAGATATAGTTTTTACTTTACATAGTTTGTAGGGAAGTGTAGGCATTTTAAAAAAGCAGTAGTGCAAAAAGAAACAAAGGAGATTGAGAAAGTGCAGCTGAATCATATTGATTGGTGCCTATCCAAAAACTAGTGTGACTGAAGAGGAGCTCTATAGAAATCTAACAGAGTAATTTTTTTTTTTAATTCAGAATATCTGTTCTCATGACTGAATTCTGTCCAATATCTTTTGAAAACAATAAAATGATAAGTAGATTTTTTTTTAATCTGTTGAAATCATTTCATCACTTCTCTTGAATAATAACATATTATTGCAATCAATTCCAGCATATGCGTACTGTGAGATGCATTTTTCTTTTACTCTTCACTTCTCAGTGTTTTTATAATATCTAATTTTCACTCCCAACTTGGAATCGTGCTCTTAACCCAGAAATATTGTTTATGTATCATTATTCAAGTTCATCCAATCAAAATAATTTGGAATCAAATTGTTGTCATTAACAGGATTTTTGTTTATTTCTTACAAAACTATTGAAATATTAATTTGCAAAGTGTTCTAGTATTGGTATGCAAAATGAATTGGACAATAGTCAATAGCTTGGTATTAAGAGTTTGTGCACGATCATGTGTGAGAGAGAAGGAATGAAAAGTGTGACTGATGAGTCTGTGTATGTGAGTGTGAAGGCATGTATGTATTTGGAGGTTGAAATTATTGGTATTTTTATATACAAATGTGTAGTAGAGTGTATATTATGTGTGGACTTATGAACTGTTCTTAAACTTTTGTTAGCTGTTAAGTCTATAAATTTAAAAAACTAATCAGTTATGAACGCAAGAATCTTCCAGTTTGAAAGAATTTTTTGTCATAAAACAACAAATCTGAGACCAGAAATTTGATGAATGGTCATTGACTGCACATGAGAAGCACATCAGGTAACATAAAAGAATAAATGTACTCAATCTGATAGGTAAGTGTGAAATAAATAACAGAACTGTAAATATCTACTGATATTCCTTTGAATGTTTGCTGTGAAATACATTGTGTTGTTGTAGATAAATAAGTATTAATAGAAAATACCAACTTTTCATTTTGACAGACTGCATTTGCATTTTAAAAAGTGAAGAAAATTTTCTCATTTTTGTGTTTTCATGTTAATTCTAACATTCTACAACACATTTGTTGCATTGGTGCCATAGAAAATATAAATATTCAATGATCAATAAGGTGTTCCAACTCAAGAGTATGATGAAAACAAACATTTGCATGCATTGTACCTGTTACACTATTGACTCATTGTGTTCACAAGTCGTGGTGTGAAATTAATATGAATGTATCTGCTATCAGTGGTTCTATAGTAGATTGTCAGACTTTAAATTAATGCTCTTTATATGCACAATATTTACATAATATTGCTTTTTATTTTTATATTCATGTTCAGAAAGTAAAAGCAATGTGCCAATATTTCCTAAAGCATTTAATATGTACAGAGAGAATATGGTCCTTGATGGAAATGTTTTGGTAAGAAGATGGAAATAAAATTTCCACAGATTTGTTTGTTTCATTTCTACGTTTCCATTTCCTTATCCCTTTGCTACCTGTGCGATCATAAAGAACATGCATGCTTGCATGGAGTGTTTATGCTTTATTTGAATATATTATGAAAGGAATATTTAATGTCAAAGTAATATAACCTATAGTTATTTTACACAGTAGTGAGAATTAACACAACTCTTAAAAAAGTTCATAATAAGCAGTGGATGTACACAAAAAACATCAGTTAATCATAATGAAATACACAATAATATTATTTATTTTTGTTATAATTCTTATTGTTGAGAGTTCATTACTCACCCATTCATTGCATTTTGCTTTGTTTGTTCCATGGGTTTATTCTTGGCTCTGTCCCACATACCTGGCAACATCCGACTTTTTTGGTTATAGGTAATATCTTTTTCTTCAAGAGACTCTCCTAGCAACAAAAGTCTTAAAGATTGCCTTGTGAAAATCTTAGGCAGTTTTAATTGTTCCTTAATTTGAGACTTTACCATTTCCCAACTGATTTCATCTAGGAAATAAGCTCTTTAGTCTTTTTGCTCTCCGCTTGCAGTAAGCACTGTGGATCAAGTAGCTGCCAATGCCAGTCCCAATCCCAGGTTAAGGAGGTTTGGAGCAATGAGCTTGCAACCCATACTTTGAAACAACTCTGAGGTGCATTCTCCCAATACAAAAGCCTCTAATACAGACAACCAGAGATAACATTGGCTATGGAATAAGGACTATTGGTACACAGAATGAGCAAGCCTTGAGGCCAAAACAGACAGAAGTTATGGCAGAAATAGATAAATTTAAATTGGATAATGTAGTCCTACCAGAAACCAAAATGAAGGGGCATGAAGAATAAGTACTAGGAAACTACGATCACATCTGGAATGGAGTACTATAATAACAAAATGCAAAATCTGGTGTCACAATACTTATTAGTAATAAATACAGAAAACATTTTACAAATTTTGCACAAATAATTGAAAGATTGATCAAATGTAAACTAAATATTGAGAACCAAAGTACAACTATCAATGGAGCAAATAGTGTTAACAAGAATGCTTTAAGTGAAGAAAAACAGGCTTTCTTTGGTGCGTTTGGTGATACTATTGATGAAGTGAATGCACGTTGAACTAATTGTCATTGGAGATTTAAATTGTAGAGTTGAACATCATGAAAAAGAGGTGGTAAACAACAATTGAAATGGACTTATTGATCTATGTTGGGAGTAGAATGTGTTGTAACAAATACTATGTTCCAGCATCAAGTTATACATGGGAAGATCCCACAAGACAACATAAATCAATTATAGATTTAATGATATTGAGGGGGTTAAGAAAAAACATTATTAAAGGATGTGCAGATATATTAACAGCCTGAATATGCTAGCATCCACCACTTGGTAGTTTGATGAATGTTTTATGAATATAAAGTCAAACTCTCAAAACATAGACAATGAGCTTAAAGAGAACAACGAATCAATCTTTCAGACAGACCTTTTGAATCAGTATAGTGTAAAATTCTACCAAAATAGACCAAGAAATAAATTAAATTTGGGAAAGGAGGACAATTTGACAAATGTATCAACACTTGAAGGAAAGTATTTTGAAAGCAGCTAAGAAAGCCCTTGGGGAAGAAGAAAGAAAAAGGAAATATATGGAAAAGTTTTCTGAGACTTCAGAAAAAAAATATTTAAGACAAGAAAAAGGCAGCATATATGAAATGGTTAAATGAATAAAACACACGAGTCAAGATAGAACTATATACTTTTCACAGAAAAGTTTTGAGTTTTCGAAAAACTTCATTAGAAGTCATTTGAAGCACATTAACTCAATACAATTGTATCTACAAATTGCTAGAAATGTGCATATTAATGGTGTGAGAGAAATTAAATAAACCAAGACATTTGTGTAATTATTTAATAAATTAAAAATACCCCAAAATGAACTTTACGTCATATTAAAGAGTGCAATTGGCACTATCCATTCAAAAAGTTTGAAGAAGAAAATTGGAGTTGTTTTATGAATATGAAGTCAAACTCTCGAAACATAGACAATGAGCTTAAAGAGAACAACGAATCAATCTTCAAGACATCTTTTGAATAAGTATAGTGTGGAATTCTACCAAAATAGACCAAGAAATAAATTAAATTTGGGAAAGGAGGACAATTCGAAGTGAGAAAGGAACGGGCGGATCCAGCCGATCATTTAGGGGAGGGGGGAATTGTAGATTTTGTTAATTGTTCAAGTAATTACTTAAATCGAACATTAATAATTTAAATCACTTTTGCCACATAAAGGTAAACGAAAACACTACGTCTTTTGAGGGGCGCAGAGAGTATATATCAGGGACGGCACTCAATGTTCAAAGGAAAGCCCTATTTTCGTGGAGGGGGAGATATTCGAATCCTCCACCCTGACAAAAGCAACGAATCAGAAAGAAGCAGCCATTTTCACCCACCGCCAGCCAATAAGTGTCAGGAGGCAGTCTACCAATTGAAATGGGGGACGGACGTGAACCGGGACAAGTTCAATTACATAATCTACCAATTTCAATATGGCGGACAGTTTTATTCTAAATAGAATGTAATTTACGTTAAAATTATGCGCGAGACAACGTAGAATAAATACATATACTCTCTGATGTAGAAGCCAATTTTGAATTCAAAGTCAATAAAGGAAATTTTGAACATGGAAGTGCAAAAATACAAAAAGTCATATTCACTATTTATTTCTAAATTATGTAAATATACAGTACACAATAAATATATGTACACATACATAATATATACACAAGTACATCAAACACAATATAAACAATTTTTGCAAAACCAGTACAAGTAATAATAACTACAAATCAACTCTTTGCTGGGGACAGAACATATGAATACTGAATTCATGAATTTAGAAAATAGTCAAATTTAACCTAGTGACCATTAATTCTTTAATGTAGTCTACTTATCAAAACAACATGCCAGCCATGGTTGTGAAATTTCACGTTATCAAAACTAACTGTAGTGTTGTGATACAAATGAAAATTATTTATAATTTTGTACAAATGAATACGAAACAAATTTGCACAATCTTATCCACAAAAACAAATTTGTGAATCAAGTTTGCTTCTACATATATTAAGCTACACAATATATAAATTTTTGTATAAAATTACCAACATTAATTAAGTAAGTTTACAAAAATTTCTGATAACCGATATAAAATGTTAATAATGCATAAATTAAATCAGATGTGAATCTTGAATAAGTCTGTTACAACTCTAAAATTAACTAACTTTCTTAAAATTCTAAATAAAAAATGTATTTATAATAATCTAGTATGAATATACTGAAAGAAATCCTGTTATTTGGAATTAGGGGATATACACTGACCACTGTGAAGCTCATTTAACCAAATTAAACCACTTGCCATACAATATTATATTATGTGCACCTGAAAAGTTAATCTGTAAAAATCCCTGGATTAAAAACTAACAGCTCATGACGATGAAATATATCCTCCAATGCCAATGTTTTCAAATTCTAATGCATTACACTTTTTAGATAATCTTCTTGGTCAACAACATTATACAAAAATCAGAATATGTATTCACTAATACCTTTAATATACTACCACTGGTACACATCTCCTTGTATACAAGAGAAATCACCATGCCCATTGTGGATGTTTTCTAATTATTTACATTACTAATCCAATTTTATTCTTTCGATTAGCAACAGCATTGAGTCCATAATTTTGGATTTAAACTATTGAGAAAATGTACAGGAAAATATTTACCTTTAAACCTCATTTTTCCCCCTTTCTTTTCAAAAGTAATATTGGATATTAAATCATGTTACAAGTGTAATCTAGCAAAAGGCATTGAGTAAAAAAAATTAACTCAATGTATTTCAAATTGATTTATCTCAGAACACAGTTTTTGATAGTAGGTTTCACTTTTATTTAAGTATTTCAGATCATATACTGATGTTCACAAGCACAGCAAGTTACTAAATGGACAGCAGATGAAAAATCAAAGATATATCAAATACCCAGAATTACTTGATAATATTTGCAACAGTTATTGAATAGGTTTTCAATTATGAAGAAAAAGTTTATAATTATTGCTTGTTCAGTTAAGAAAGCAATTCTTTTTTACACATTGTTACGAAACTAAATTGAGGGACACTATTGGTGATTAATAATAATAATAATAATAAAAATAATAATAATAATAATAATAATAATAATAATAATAATAATAATATTTTTATTTCCAAAGATTATATTGACAGTGTACAAAACCAATCACCATAAAAAAAATCAATAAAAAAAGAATACCAATTTTGTTTACTACTTTACATACATTAATACATCCTGTTTAACCTTTCCGGTATAAATCCTGGCCTTAATCAGCGTGTAATTTTAAATTTAAATAATAAATATTAATATATTTATTACCATTTATTTTATCTTATTCAGTACACTTAACCCTCTTTAAGTACTTTATGTACTTTCAGAGAGGGTTGTGTTACATTATACGCTTGTTTTGTTCTGGTTTTGTGTCTTTTTCTGTATTACCGTGTTGATTCTCAGTTCACTCATCATCAGTACTTGTTTGGAAATGAATTTGGGTTTTTATTGGAATTTTTGAATTTATTCTAGGATCTCAGCAGGCAGAAAGAATCAAAATCATCCAATTATCCAGAATAACAAATAAATGTTAATAAATAAAAAGATATGTTAGTTGGCAACTGTTATATGAAAATACCAAGTTTACTTAATAACCATTTTGAAATTTGGAGTGACAAAATTAACAAACGCAAAGCGAATAAAATCTATATCTAAATTAACACTATGAAACAAATAGAACTTCTGGTGGCCAAATGGCAGCTGACATTAAACTGAGTTATAATTATCCATTATAAATATCGAAATTAAAATAATTGGACTGCAAAACAAAAATTAGTCCCATACCTTAACGAAACTGAATGAGAGTAACAGGAGCTTAT